AATCATCCACCTGCCCCCCACAGCACACCGTACTCAACCCCACTACACCTCTGTGTACCCCTCCCATCCAGGTTTGTGTTCGGAGTGACAGCCCTGCTGCCTCTCATCACCACTGCTGTCGACGTCCCAGAAGAGAGGGTTACCACAGGTCCCCTCTCCCCCCCGTCATCCACCCACCGTCCACAGCACACCGTTCTCGACCCCACATCACCACTTTGTACCCCTCCCATCCAGGTTTGTGTTCGGAGTGACGGCCCTGCTGCCTCTCATCACCACTGCTGTCGGATTCTACGTCCCAGAGGAGAGGGTTACCGCAGGCACTAGGGTTACCACAGGCACTAGGGTTACCACCAACAAGGATAGTACAACCACTGGCACAGCAGTAGGAGGGACAGGGGGGGAGCTTACAAGATTAGAAGAAAGCCGAGGAGACAGAGAAGGAGGCAGAGGAGGGGAAGGGGGAGCAGTGGGAGGAGTGGAAGGAGGAGGGGTTGGAGTGGTAGTAGCAGCAGGGGGCGGGGCGAGGGAGACGTGGGCGTGGGCGTGGGGTCAGGTGGTGTTTCTGTGGGAGACCATTCGCCAGCCCGCCATTCTGCTGCCCACCGCCTTCATCTTCCTCTGGCAGGCCACTCCCCACTCTGAGACTGCCATGTTCTTCTTCACGTGAGTGCTTGCTGTGGGTGTTCTCCAGATGAGCATTTGCCTGAAGGCATGGCGGGTACGGCCATGGGTATGGGCACGCGTGGGTGTGGGCATGAGTAAGTGCTTTCATCTTCCTCTGGCAGGCCACACCCCACACTGAAACCGCCAGGGTCACCAGGAGTCAACAGGTATCAACAGGGGTCACCAGGGGTCAACAGGGGTCAACAGGAGCAACAGGGGTCAAACGAGTTCCATGGGGCTATAGCCATGGGGTTCTCTGAGGCCGCCATATTCGTTTTGCACGTGAGTCAATGGGAGTCAACAGGGGTCAAGGAAAGTCAACGGGGGTTATTGGGGGTCCGCCCTGAGTCTGTTGATTGTCTTTCTAATTTTGACCCACCCACTTACATTCTCCGCCATTCCCCCCCGCCCCCCCCCCCCCCCCCCCCCCCCCCCGTCTCAGGGCTTCGCTTTGGCCCTGAGTTCATGGCCCGCATGAACTCAGGCTTCATGGCCCGCATGAACTCAGGCTTCATGGCCCGCATGAACTCAGGCTTCATGCGGGCCCATGGTTCATGGCCCGCATCCATGATGCTGCAGGGTGTTTTTGAGAATTCTCAAAAACACCCTTTCACAAAATACCCTGAGTTCAAGTTCCGCATCCGCTGCGTGACAACCCTAGCCTCGCTGCTTAGAGTAGGAGCCTTTCCGAGCGCCCATAACCTTCCACACTTCCTCCCACCCCAACCCCCTCTCCCACCGCAGCACCAACGAGCGGGGCCTCAGCCCTGGGTTCCTGGGCCTTGTCCGCCTCGTGACGCCATCGCCTCCCTACCCCAAACCTCCCCAACAGCCCATACTCTTCAGCACTCCCATTTTCCCCTCTCCCTCACCGCAGCACCAACGTCCTGGGTTCCTGGGCCGCGTCCGTCTCATGACCGCCCTGGCCTCCCTGGCAGGGGTGGGCGTGTTCAACTTCTCTCGCCCCTTTTCTCCCCCCATCCCCCCCCCCCTCTCTCCCTCTGCAGCACCAACGAGCTGGGCTTTAGTCCTGAGTTCCTGGGCCGCGTCCGCCTCGTGCCAACCCCAGGGCTGAGTCCCCATAATGCGAAAGACTCGCCTCCATAATCTTCCACTCTCGCCCAACCCCCCCTCTTCCCACCGCAGAACCAACGAGCTGGGCTTTGTTCCTGAGTTCCTGGGCCGCGTCCGCCTCGTGCCAACCCTAGGGCTGAGTCCCCAACATCAGAATGACTCGAGCCTGTCTGGGCGCCCATAATCTTCCATACGCTCCCCCAACCCCCCCTCTTCCCACCACAGCACCAACGAGCTGGGCTTTGTTCCTGAGTTCCTGGGCCGCGTCCGCCTCGTGCCAACCCTAGGGCTGAGTCCCCATCATCAGAATGACTCGAGCCTGTCTGGGCGCCCATAATCTTCCATCCGCTCCCCCAACCCCCCCTCTTCCCACCGCAGCACCAACGAGCTGGGCTTTGGCCCTGAGTTCCTGGGCCGCGTCCGCCTCGTCACCGCCCTGGCCTCCCTGGCAGGGGTGGGCGTGTTCAACTTCTACCTCAAAGAGGTGCCTCTCAGGAAGCTCTTTTTCTGGACCAACATTGCTGGAGCCCTTCTGGGCTCCACACAGGTGAGACAGAAAGGCTTCCCCCCCCCACCCCAGGTACACAGTACGGTACATCCCTATGGTTGGCTCGCACAAGGCTACAAGCACTCCTCGCCTCGCTCGCAGGGGTGGGGGTGTTCAATTTCTACCTCAAAGGGGTGCCACTGAGGAAGCCCTTTCTTTGGACCAACGTGGCTGGGGCGCTCCCAGGCTCCACACAGGTGAGCCATTAAGCAAGCAGACAAGGCAACAATCAGCCTTGGCCCTCCCTGCCGGGCAGGGGTGGGGGTGTTCAATTTCTGCCTGACAGAGGTGCCTCTCAGGAAGCTGTTCCTCTGGACCAACGTGGCTGGAGCCCTCCTGGGCTCCACACAGGTGAGACGTGGGGTGGGGGGAGAGCCGAGTCTAGTGAGTCTCAGCACCCGAGACAGTTCTGGGTGGGTGCGAAGTCACTGTTGGCAACTCTCTGAAGTGACTCCATGCTGCATGACTCTAGCTGGGAATCACTTTTGAGAATTCTCAAAAGTGATTCTCCATGCTGCATGACTCTAGCTGCATGCTGCTACACGCCCTTGCCTCACTCACTGCCACCTTTCTCCCGCTTACTCTTGCTCACCACGCATTCTCCCCATGTATTGTCCACCTCGTCTCAGCTACTCCTTGTCACCGGTCTCAACCGCTCTCTGGGAATCAGCGACCAGTACTTTCTGCTGGGGGACTCTCTCATACTCACCGTGCTGGGACAGGTGAGACCTGGGGCAGGTAATAGCTGGGACAGGTGAAGACTGGGGCAGGTAATAGCTGGGACAGGTGAGAGCTGGGGCAGCTGGGACAGGTGAGAACTGGGGCAGGTAATAGCTGGGGCAGGTGAGACCTGGGGCAGGTGAGACCTGGGTCAGGTGAGACATGGGTCAGGTGAGACATGGGACAGATGAGACATGGGTCGGGTAATATCTGGGGCAGGTGATAGCTGTGGTCTGTTTCCTCATACTCTCTGTGTCGAGGCAGGTAACGCCACGCACACGGTTAACCGACCGACCTCTTTGGCACAACGCTCATGCCTTTCAGCAACGGCGCGAGCATCTTCGGGGGGGGGGGGGGTTGGTGGTGGGGGTGATGGGCACTGCGCTGGCCAACCCTTTCCTTGCTTCCCCCATTTCTATTCCTGCCCCCATCTCAGATTTCCTTCATGCCAGTGCTGGTGCTAGCAGCTCGAGTCTGCCCCCCGGGCATCGAAGCAACGCTCTTCGCAACACTCATGTCTGTCAGCAACGGGGCGAGCGTCTTTGGGGGGGTGATGGGCGCTGGGCTGACCAACTGGCTGGGAGTGACGAGCACCAACTTCACCAACCTGCCCACGCTCATCGCCATCTGCAACTTCTCCTCTCTGCTCGTGCTGCCGTTTCTCAACCTGCTGCCTGCTGGTGTCGGCGCTAACTCCGACTCTGAAGAAGAGTAGAACTTGTACAGTAACATCTGCTCTGTAGAAAATTCCTCAAGTAACAGCGATCCACTGTCAGTATCAGTTTAATTCAAGATGGCACTCCAGCCAGGTTTTCTTACCCAAACGCATTGTACTGTGTTCTATCAAAAAGTGTTATATAATATTAATGTCTTAAATTCACTAAGTCAGGATGGCCGAGTTGGTCTAAGGCGCCAGTTTCAGGTACTGGTCCGTAAGGGCATGGGTTCGAATCCCATTCCTGACAATTTTTCGACGCGTCTTCTTCCCCCCGAACCTACGATCGATCCTGCGAAATCGGACCTCCACCGCACTGAAATCCTTCTTCCGACATTTAAAACTATCGGAAATGTTTTTAACCCCGGACGCGTTCATTCCCTTGATCGACCCTGCGCAGGGTCGATTTTTGGCGGGGTCAGAGAAGGTTCTGCTAGTTGTTGAATGCATCAGGCGGGGTTTCAGTGCGGTCGATATTGCACGATCAAGTGAGAGGGGACGCGTGCTTAGTCCCCCTGGCTGGCAACCTGAAGTCCTGATTGGTGGATGGAGCGGCACCCACCACGGAGTGCGAGCGACATGCGATCGTACGAACGGAGCAGCAAAGCAGCTCCCCACCCCGAACAGTACGCGTTACAACTGTACCACCTCCACTCTTTCAAATGTCCGTCTGTCCGTTCCCCCGTTTCCCCGTTCGCCTGCACGCTCGCTAGCCTGCAGTTCCGGGTGAAAGCAGAAACCCTAATTTCGAGCTTTTCCGTTGGTCCTCGCGAACACGTCACTTACGCAGCACACATCTGAATGGGGTCAGGTGTCAGGTTGTATTTCATGGCTGACACAGGCAGGCAAGGTCCCACTTCTGTCGGTGAAGGGAAGACCCTGCCTTTGGCTAGTTGTGAGTTTGTTCGTAGGCAAGCGTTTGAAGTGGTTCTATCGTCTAGACAAGGCTGGCTAGTTGTCTCTTAGCAACAGCTGTGAACTTATTCATTGGTGACTTTCCCGTTGGCGTAAGAGTCACCACAATGCCGTCCTTTTCTCGATAGCTCCAGTAGTCTGAAATATTATTACTAATTTCTCCTGCAGTGTTTGTTTCGAAAGAATAAGGCCCATCTGCAGCATCCAGCTATGGTATCGCGCTTCACAGTTGCTAATATTATTTACTTCAACAACGACTATTGCACTGACTGTCACCTTTACGACTTGCCTGATGTAAATTAAAGTCCGTACTCGTTAATAGAGACCTCGTTTGTGGTAGCAAGTCCAGTTGTAACGCCAAGAGCCATGGTTTCGTGTTTCTCCGTCGCTCCCATACACAACGACAAGTACGACTATTACATCGACGATTACATCTCCGATGACGACCCGAACCTCGACCCGGACGTACGTACGCTTCGCAAGGCGAAGCAGCGGCGGTACGAGGAGCGGCTCGCGAAGGAAGCGGCGAAAGCGGCGGAGGAAAGGGAGCGGATACGGCAGAGGGTCGGGGGAGTGGTGGTGGTGGGTGTGGATGTTAATGAAAGCGGCCAGAAGATCGTGGACTTCGCGATTGAGAATATGGTGAAGCGAGGCGGCAAGCTGGTGCTCGTGCATGTCGCCACCGTCACTCCCCTCGTACAGCCGGGCCCAGGTGAGTCACTCCGTCTGACCTGGTCTGCAAACGCCCTAGTTCCAAAACGCCCGCCGACTGCCTTGGCCTGAGGCCCTTCCAAAGGTGGTGGTACGTGGAGTGGTGGAGGTGGGTGTGGATGTGAATGAAAGCGGTCAGAGGATGGTGGACTTCGCGATTGAGAACATGGTAAAGCGAGGCGGCAAGCTGGTGCTCGTGCACGTCGCCACCGTCACTCCTCTGGTTCAGTCCGGTCCAGGTGGGTGAAGTGGTTTGCGTCCCGTTTAAGAATGGTTCGGTAGGGTGGGGAGAGGGTGATGATAGGTGGAGGCCAAGAAGAGCAGTCACAGACGTGTGAGTGGCTCGATTTGAGTCCCGGTTTCGTCAAGAAGAAACACAAGACAGTACATTCAATCTTGCAGAGAGCAGAGGGGATAGGGAGGGTTTGTTTGGACGCACAAGGTAAGGGCATGGTGGGGAGGGTACAGCCTGCACATATCGCATGGTGGGGAGGGTACAGCCTGCACATATCGCATGGTGGGGAGGGTACAGCCTGCACATATCGCATGGTGGGGAGGGTACAGCCTGCACATATCGCATGGTGGGGAGGGTACAGCCTGCACATATCGCATGGTGGGGAGGGTACAGCCTGCACATATTGCATGGAGGGTAGTCACCTCATTGCAGCTTCCTGTCACTTCTCTTTCTTCAACCCATGCCCGTGCAGGCCGCAGCAACAAGCGCGAGGTGAAGAGCAGGGAGCGCGTGGTGGGGTGGGTACAACCTGCACATGTCACACGAGGCCATGCTTATCCCCTCTCCACGCCCTCCCCCGCCTCCCCCGCACTCCCTTCTGTTTTCCTCCCTCTGCGCTCCCCCAGGCCGCAGCGACAAACGCGAGGTGAAGAGCAGGGAGCGCGCGTGGTGGGGAGGGTACAACCTGCACATGTCACACGAGGTCGCACGCCTGCTCAAGCCACACAGGCGGCAATGCAGAGCGGCTGGGGTGAGTCTAGTCCGTCAAAAGCTGCACAGGCAGCACTGTAGAGCCTCTGGAGTGAGTCCCTCCTTCCTTTCTTCAGACAGACGGCACTTGTCACACGAGGTCGCTCGCTCAATGCAGAGCGGCTGGCTGGGGTAAGTCCTTGTTCCAGATAAGCACCGCACAGGAAGCACTGTCTCTAGAGCCTTTGGAGTGAGTCCCTCCTTCCTTTCTTCAGACGGAACATGTCACACGAGGTCGCGCACCTGCTCAAGCAGCACAGGCGGCAATGCAGAGCGGCTGGGGTGAGTCCTGTCTTCACATGTTTAGTTCCTCCTTCACATGAATTCCGTAATGCATGTTGAGATGGAAGTGGAGTGGAGGTGCGTATAGTGCGAGGCAAGTCAGTGCCCCACACGCTCCTGAAAGAGGTGTTCCAGCCTCACCCTTCCTCGCCCCTCCCCGTCCTTCACCTCCCTCCCTTCCCCTTCAAATGGAGGTGGAGGTGCGTATAGTGCGAGGCAAATCAGTGCCCCACACGCTCCTAAAGGAGGCCGCTTCCCTCTCTGCAACCACGCTGCTGCTGGGGGGGCAGGGGCGGAAGGGCAAGGGCAAGGAGAAGGCGCAGTTCAATGCCCACGCAGACCCCGTCAAATGAGGTCCTTGCTCCCTCCTTTCCTCCCACTTCCCCCTGCCCCCCCCTTTCCTCCCCTCCTTTTCCTTCCAACCTCCCTTTCCCTTCAGATGGAGGTGGAGGTGCGTATAGTGCGAGGCAAGTCAGTGCCACACACGCTCTTGAAAGATGTCCTTTACACCTTCCCTCCCCTCCTTCCCTCCCCTATTCTTCCCCTTCAGATGGAAGTGGAGGTGCGTATAGTGCGAGGCAAGACAGTGCCACACACGCTCCTAAAAGAGGCTGCTGGGCTTTCTGCAACCACGCTGCTGCTGGGGGGGCAGGGGCGGAAGGGCAAGGGCAAGGAGAACGCGCAGGGGGAGGGGGAGGGTGCACGGGAGGAGAGGCGGAGGGGGGAGGCTGCAGCAGCAGGCGCAGCAGCAGCAGGGGTGGCGGGGATGAGTGTGGTTGGTGGGATGCAGGTCGGCAAGTCAAGGTGAGATTCGTTCATTCACAGGAGCAACAGCCGCAGCTGCAGCAGCAGCAGCAGGGGCGGCAGGGATAGATGTGGTTGGCACGATGCAGGTAGCACACACTTACTACAGACAAGCGTTGTTGGAGTAACTTTTGGGTTTTTTTTTTTTTTTTTTTGGGGGGGGGGGGGGAGGGGTTTAAGATGTGTCTGCCCTCTTTCGCCCCTTCTTCATCTCATCCTCTTTAATCAACAGGAAATCTGGCAGCAATACTTCGCGCATGCTATTTCGCCTGGCTGTCCGCTCTAGGGTGCATGATTCTGGTTGTGCTGATACTGCCTAACATATTGTCTTCTCCCATCCCTTTTCCCCCGCAACAGGCAATCGGGCCCCAACAAAGCAAGCTACTGTGCCCGGCGCCCCCCTCTAGGCTGTGTGGTGCCCGTGGTGGATCCCTCCTCCTCATCTGCTCTCTGATGTTCGCCCCCCTTTTACCACCCTCCCAACAGGCAATCGGGCCCCACCACAGCAAGCTACTGTGCCAGGCGCCCCCCCCTGGGCTGTGTGGTGTTGGTGGTGGATCCCTCCTCCTCGCGAGTCGTGCTGCAGTCGGGGAACGTCGACTTTCGCTACCCCAACCACCCCATTCGCCCCCTGCTGTCTTCCTCTCCCTTCTCCCCCTCACAACAGCAGGCAATCTGGCAGCAGCGCAGCAAGCTATTGCGCCCGGCGGCCTCCCCTGGGCTGTGTGGTGCTCGTGGTGGATCCTTCCTCCTCGCGAGTCGTGCTGCAGTCGGGAAACGTCGACTTTCGCTACCCCAACCACCCCATTCGCGGCCGCCACCGGCCCAATGCTACCCGCGCCCGCACCCTCGGTGCTGGAGGTGCCGGTGCTGCTGGTAGCGGTGGTGCTGCTGCTTTGGAGGCTGCTGGGAGTGGTGGGGGTGGGAGTGCTGGTGCTACAGGTGTAATTGCTGCTGCTTCTGTTTCTGCTGCTGCTGCTGCTCGTGCTGCCGCTGTTGCCATGGGTTCGAGAGCTCTATCCGCTCATCCTGTTGAGGCTGCCGCCTCTGGGTCATCTGGAGCAGCAGGGGAGCAGCAGGGTCATCTGGGCCACACACGTCCCACTGTGTCGCACAGTGCATCAGCAGCAGCGGCAGCAGCAGCACCAGCTGCAGGGGTGGGGGCAGCAGCAGCACCAGCTGCAGGGGTGGGGGCAGCAGCAGGGCGGGCCTCTGTCAGCAGCGCCGTTGCCGCTGCTGCCGCCACTGCTGCAGCAGCGATCAGGGTAGGCCCAGGCCCAGGCCCAGCCTCGGGGTCAACCCCTGGCCCAGCAACTCTCCCAGGCAACCGTAGGCAGCCTGGACCCCAACCTTTAGCCCGGGAATGGGAATCCCGTGAGTCGGCTCAGAAGGGACGACCGTCGGCACGAGAGTGGGAGTGTTTGCAAGGGCAGGCCGGTGCTCAGGGTGACGATGGTCAGGGAGTTGGGGCAGCTGATACTGACGCTGCTGCTTTGCGTTCTGAGTCTCCCCGCCCCTCTCCTCCTCTGTCTCCCTCGGGCTCCTCCTCTTCCTCTCAGTCCTCCTCTGCTGTTCCGGTCGCCTACCCTCCCTCTTCCGAGCTCACTGCTGCTCCCATTACAGCTGCTGCTGTTACTGCTGCAGCTATTGATGATGATGATGATTATAATTGTGACTATGATAGTAATGTGTATGGCAACCCAGCAGCTGTAACCGGGACAGGTGGTAACTCAGGTCAAGTTGGTAACTGTTGCTCAGGCACCAGTGCAGCAGCTACAGCTTCAGCTAGAGATGTTACATCTGAGGTTGTATTGAAGGAGCAACGCTTGGCTGCCAGGGTTTCTACCATTGAGCCTGCTACAGCCAGGAGTTTTCCATCCAGAACCGCTACAACTAAGGTCGCTACAGCCACGATTGCTGCTGCTGGTTCCGCTGCTGCGGCTGCTGCTGGTGGTGATGCTGCTGGTGCTGCTGGTGCTGCTGGTGCTGCTGGTTTTGGTTCTGTTGGTGGTGGTGCTGGTGGTGGTTATACGCCCGTTACTCACTACTATCACCAGCAGATTACGCCGTCGTCTTCGCTCTCCTCCTCCCCGTCTGTCCTGCACACTCGCTCCTCCCATTCCTCTAACTCCTCCGCTACCCCCTCCCACCCTCCCTCCGCCTCTTGGTCTGTGAAGCCAGCACGGGATAATGGTAGCGTTCAGAGGAGTAGTGGCAGTTTGAGAGGGGTGGAAGGGGATGGGGAAGGGTCTGTGAAGCTAGCACGAAATAATGGTAGCTTTCAGAGGAATAGTAGCAGTTTGAGAGGGGTGGAAGGGGAGGGAGAAGGGGAGGCTCGTGCTAAGGGGGTGGGGATGGGGGCAGGGATGGGGGTGGGGATGGGGGCGGGGATGGGGGCGGGGATGGGGGTGGGGATGGGGGCGGGGATGGGGGCGGGGATGGGGGTGGGGACAGGGGTAAGGATGGGGGTGGCTTGTGCGGATGATGGGTCGAGTGTGCAGAGCTACAGGAGCAGTCTGCATGGGGTGAAGGAGGAGGAGGAGGAAGAGGAGGAGGACGAAGAGGAGGAAGAAGAGGAGGAGGAGGATGGGGAGGGGGGCGAGGAGGAAGAAGTGGGGGAACGAGTGGGGAGAAGGGTGGTGGGGGAGGTGGGTTGTGAAGAGGGGGAGGATGGGGAGGGGGAGCAGAGGGAAGTGGATGAGGAGGAGGAGGACGAGGAGGAAGAAGAGGAGGAAGATGGAGGTTCGAGTTGGAGCAGTTGCGGCAGTGCTGGGAGGGAGTTGGAGCAGCAACAGAGGAACCAGCAGAGGGACGAGAGGAGAGAAGAGGAGGGTGTGGTGGTCGGGGAGAGAAGCTTAGATGAAGGGCATGAAGTGAGGATAGGCAGGAGGGGAGACGGGCGGGAGGACAGGAGGGGTGAAGGGAAAGCGGAAAGGAGGGAAGAAGCGAGAATAGAGGGGGCGGAGGGGGGGGGGAGAAAGAGGCGGGCACAGGTGCTTGTGTGTGAAGGGACAGACGGAGAACGAATAAGGGAGTCAAGAACAAACAGTGAATGTGGTTCAAGGCATGAACAATCAGGTTTCTCAGCTAAAGCAGCAGGTGCTACTGCTCGTGATGGTGCTTCAGGTGCTACTGTTCGTGATGGTGCTTCAGGTGCTTCTTCAGGTGCTTTTGCTAGTGTGGTTGGAAGGCAGGGCAGCAGCAGGAGCAGTGGGAGCAGCAGAGGGGTGATGGCAGGGGCGCAAGAGCGCGTTTTGAGAGATCATAGCAGAGAGGGGGACAGGTGGGGAGGGGCAAGTTTAGATGGGAGCAGTGTGGATGGGAGGAGTGTGGATGGGAGGAGTGTGGATGGGAGGAGTGTGGATGGGAGGAGTGTGGACAGCAGAACCACCACCACCACTACAATCACCAGCACATACATGCATAGACCATTAGAGAGCCTTACCTCTTGTTCCTCCTCCCTCTCCTCCCTCTCCTCCCTCACTCCTCCCCCCTTCACCCCTCCCCAGCACCACCACCCCTCTTCCCTCCCTCGCCCCCCTCCCATCCGCCCGTCTTGCCGAGCTAGAACAGGACCCCGGGGGTTGAATGGATCGTACCATTCTGGTAACCTGGTTACCAGCAGTAGCAGGCTTGTTACTAACAGTGGTGCGGTTACCAGCGGCACGAGCACATGCTACGACGAGAGTGGGAGTGTAAGCCGATATGGCGAGGGGAGTGAGAGCGTGAGTCGGTACACGGGGAGGAGTGAGGGTGTGAGTGAGGGTTTTAGTGGGAGTGTGAGCGGGAGTGTGAGGGTGGTTTCAGATCTAGCAAATATAAACATCGAGCACAGCCGGAGGATACACAGGCAGATGCACAGGCAGAGGTTGGGAGGAGGGGCATCGAGGTTGGGAGAAGGGCAAAGAGAGGAGGAAGGGCAAAGGGAAGGGGAGTGGGGGAGTGAGCTTGGGTGCCGAGAAGGGCAGACGGAACGACAGGAGGAGGACAAAGGGGAGAAGGATGAGGAGGAGGAGGAGGAGGAGGAGGAGGAGCAGCAGCAAGAGTATGAGGAGCAGGAGTCTGGTGAAGGGCAAGAGCCGGGGGGATTAAGGATAGAGCAGCAGCGGAGATTAGATACAAGTATGCCCAGGCAGTCAGGAGAGTGCGATGAGAGGGGAGAGTGCGATGAGAGGGAGAGAAATGAGAGAGAGTGCGAGAAAGGGGGGGTTGCGGGAGGGGTGGGAGGCGAAGGGAGGAGAGAGGAAGGCAAGGGTGGGTGGAGCATGAGGGGATTGCTGAAACTGGGAGGAAGAAGTTTTGGTCATGATGCTGTCACTGCTGCTGCTGCTGCTTCTGCCGCTGCCACTGCCACTGATACTGCCGCCGCTGCTGCTGCCGCCGCTGCTGCTGCTGCTGCTGCTTCATCATCTGCTGCTATTTCAGCTTCGGCATCAGCTTCGGCAGCGGCAGCAGCAGCTACTGGGACCCCTGCTGCTGCTACTGCGACAGCTACTGCTGCTACCGCTGCTGCTCCTGTTGCCGATTCCCCTGGCCTGACTGGCTGGTACAGAATACCATCCACCACACACCACGCAGCCACTCCAGCCGGGTCAGCAGTATCAGACTCCCACACCACAGTAGTAGGAGGCTCGGATGCCAAGCCGCCCGCCTCTCTCCACACGTCTGTCTTCGGGGAGTCAAGTGTCCCTCTGGCGGGGCAAGCCCATCAGCAGGCAGAGGGGGTGCATGGGGGTGGGGGAAGGCGGTCTATGGATGGGCTTCTTGCTGCAAATCGGCACGTTTCGCTTCTGAAACGCCGGCCCTGGCCCAAGAACGTGCCTGCTCACACCCAGACCCAGCCCCAGACCCAGTCCCAGCCCCAGCATCTGCCTGCTGCTGCTGGAGTTGGTGCTGCTGCCCCTGCTGCTACTGCGACTGCTGCTAGTGCCGCCGCTGCTGCTGGCAGCACTGCTGATGAGGCTGCAAGTGCTGATAACCCTGCAGCTTCTGCAGCTGCTGCTGTCACAACTGCTGCTGCTGGTGCTGCTGCTGGAGAAGGAATGACTCTTGATACTGCTGCTTCTGCTTCTGCTGCTGTTGTGGCTGCTGCTGCTGCTGCTGCTGCACTGCCTGCTGGCCCACAGGCACCTGCCACACAGGTGCCAAAGCCGACACCGAACGTTCGCAAACCCAGGCGGAACCTCCAAAAGGGAGAAGCAGCAGCAGCAGCTCCAGCTGCAAACGTAGCAGTGGCAGCAGCAGCAGCAGATTCTGCCTGTGATTCCCCTGCTGTGAATCCTGCGGCATGCATTCCCCCAGCATCTGCTGCTGCTGCTGCTGCTGCTGCTGCTGCTGCTGCTGCTGCTGCTGCTGTAGCGTCTCCGCTTGATGTGCCGATTCCTTCAGCTGCACCCTCTGCTGCTGCTCCTCCTGTGGCGTCTGCTGCTTCTTCTGTTGCTGCTGGGAAGAGCACCACGCCTATTTCAGTAGACCACCTGTTTCAGCTCGTCTTTGCACACCAGAATCCAGACACACAGCAGCAGCAAGGCCAGTCTCTATCCTCCTCCACTAGCTCCTCTCAATCCATCACAGCCACACACTCTCCCGCCCGCATCTTTCCTCTCAAAGAGCTTGTTGCAGCAACAGGAAATTTCGCTCGAGAGAACATGATAGGGAAGGGAGGGTACGCGCATGTGTATAAGGGGAAACTGAAGCTTACTATAGGGGAGCATATGGGCAGTGGCAGTGCGGTTGGTGGCGGTGGTAGAGGCGGGTTGAGGGGTTCGGGGGGGTCGAGTAAGGTTGTGAGGGTGGCGGTTAAGAGGGTGTATAAGAAGGGGAGGAGCAAAGATAAGGAGAAGGCAAAGCAGGCGAGGGAAAAGGAGGAGAGAGAGGAGAGGAGGAGAGGAGGTGGTGGGGAGGAGGGAAAAGACGGGAAAGCGGAGGGAAAGGAGGAGGGGAACGAGGAGGGGGATGGCCTAGAGGAACAAGAAGGAGAAGAAGAGAGGAAGGCTCGGGAGGCAGAGGAGAATGAGAGATTTATGACTGAGGTGCGGATCGTAGAAAGAGCCAGTGCCCATCCAAACATCGTGAAGCTTCTGGGATACTGCATGGAGGGAGGAGAGCATATTATGGTGTATGAGTTGGCGGGGAATGGGAGTGTGGAGCGCAACTTGCACTCCAAGACAAGAGATGTGATGCTGTGGGAGCGGCGCGTGCAGGCTGTGGTCGGCGCGGCACGAGGGCTGGCTTACCTCCACAGCGGCTGTAGCAGCTGTAGCGGCTGTAGCAGCAGCACCAGTAGAGCAGCAGCAGCAGGACCGGGAGGGGTGGGAGGAGAAGGATCAGTTGCAGCTGCAGCAGCAGCAGCAGCAGCAGCAGGAGCAGCAGGAGAGGGGTGCATAGTGCATAGGGACATCAAGACAGGCAACATTCTAGTGGGCCACGACTGGCAACCACTGGTTGCTGATTTCGGCCTCGCCAGATGGATCCCCTCCCCTCCCCCCTCCACCTCCGCATCCCCCTTACAAGCCTCCTCGTCTCCCTTACAAGCCTCTCCTTTACAAGCCTCTGTGTCGGCTATAACTGGGGTGGCGAATAAACCCGCTATAGACGGATCCATTAAGTCGCCTATAGAGGGTACGGTGGGGTATATGGCCCCCGAGTATTTTCTTAGGGGGCGGCTGTCCACCCACACTGATACATACGCGTTTGGAGTGCTGCTGCTGGAGCTTATAACGAGTCGCCGGCCTGTGGATCCGAGGAGGAGCAAGGAGGAGATGGACCTGGTGCTGTGGGTGAGTGAGAGATGGGGAGGGGTGATGAAGGGTGATGAGGGGTGAGGGGAGGTGAGGGGGGTGAGTGAACGGAGCAAGGAGGAGATGGACCTGGTGCTGTGGGAGAGTGCGGTTGAGGGCGGTTTAATGAGGTTTAGGGTGGTTGAGAGGGGGTTAGGGGGGTTGAGAGGGGAGTGAGTGAATGAGTGGAGCAAAGAAAGAGGAGATGGATCTTTTGCTGTGGGTGGGTTGGGGGGTTTGTGTGGAAGGAGAGAGGAAGAGTGAGTGAGAAAAAGGGGAGAATGGGCGAGAAGGGGGAGAAGTGGGTATGAGGGGTGGGCTGTGGATCCTTGGTGGAGCAAGGAGGAGATGGACCAGGTGCTGTGGATAAGTGGGGGAGGGATGGTGGTGGGAGAGAGAGGGGGGTCGACTGCACCTGCTAGTAGACCCGCGTGTGGAGGGCACAGTGGTTGTCTCATCGCTGCACAGTGTGCCTGCTGCTGCCCTGCTCTGCTCAAACTTCAGTTCACATATCATCTCTCCCTTCCCACCTCCCCCACCTACTCCCAGGCTCTCCCTCTGCTGGGATCGGGGCAACTGCATCTGTTGGTGGACCCGCGTGTGGAGGGAGCAGTGGACCTCCCTTCTCTGCACCGCATGGCTGCTGCTGCGCTGCTCTGCCTGCGCCACACGCCCTCCCTCCGCCCCTCCATGCACCAAGTCGCCCTGCTGCTGGAAGGGCACTTTCTGGATTACCAACAGGTTGGTGCCTTGTCTTTCCTGCTAGCTAGAGCTTGTTGATCGGATCGCGGTGCTCTGCTCTGCTCTGCGCTGCGCTGCGCTGCTCTGCTCTGCCTGCGCCACACGCCCTCCCTCTGCCCCTCCATCCATGTCTCAAGTCGCCCTGCTGCTGGAAGGGCACTCCTTGGACTACCAACAGGTGGGTGCCTTCGCTTTGTGCTGCCTGGGCTCTGCTGTTTTTATCTGTCTTGCCCTGCGCCATACACCCTCCCTCCGCCCCTCCAGAGGTGTGCCGTGTGCCATGCATCATGTGCCACATGCCATGGGACATCCATCATGTTCCATTTGCCATGCGTGATGTGCAATATTCCATGCAACAGGTGCAATATGCCGTGCGCCATGTGCCATATGCTGTGTGCCATGTGCCATATGCCGTGTGCCATGTGCCATGCATTCAACCTGGTGTTAGCAACTTCGGTCTCTACTCTACCTCTCATATCGTGCATCATTTCCCGAAGGCCCCAATGCACTCACCATCTCTTATACTCCCGTTTTTATTCATTGCACAGTTGTACCTACACTGGCCGAGCCTGCGGGACCATGCTCGGCCCACTTCAGCTGAGAGCAAACGAATGGCTGCTGCCAAGGCTGCTGCTGTTGGAGGAATGCGAAATAAAAATCCAGAAGAGAAGGAAAATGAGGAGAATAAAGGGGGTTAACGATTCAAGAGCAGGCCATGTATCTAATCGAAGTTGTATTATCATCAGAAGTGTGTAAGCCTTGTGTATCGTTATATATAATAGCAGAGCTGTCATTTTAGAGCTGATAGTATTTTGGAAAGTGCAACACATTCTAACACCACGAACATTTGATATTTTGCACGGCACGGCAAGCCACGTGTGCAGTCTTCTATTCGTCACATTCTCGAATGTGCCAGTTCAGCCCTCGGGTCCGTCGGACCAATGCGAGGCGAGCAATTCCCACGGTTCCTCGAGTCAAGTCAGGCAGGTCCGTCACTTGGCTTCGCTAATGTAACACTCGCGCCGTCACATTCTTGCTTTTCCTCTCCGTTTTAGTGTCAACCTCCCTCCTTGTTCCTCCATCATTGCCTATTACCATTTCCAGAAATTCATTTTGCTCTCACTTGCTTTATGATATACCAGCCGAATTTCTCATTCAAATCCGCCACGATTCTTCTCCTCCATTGACGATTCTTCCATCGACGTCTTCTGGTTGTTCCTCTGCAGCCGTTCTCACGTCTGGTTGTCCCCTCTCCGTTGTCTTGCTGTTCCCACGTGTGCAATCTAGCCAGCATCCGATCGTGCTTTCCTCTGTCGTTCATTCAGAAGGGCAGGTTCTGGTACAGAGCTGAACTAGAAAAACACGTCAAGAGCTGCGGATTCGTGTATTGGTTAATCGGTACGGCTGCTAAGCATGGGGAGGTACACGAATCTTCTGCTTATCGTCGCCGCTGCGGCCGGCACGGCAGCGGGAGTGTACCTCCTTCGGCGCTACTACTGCTGCCAAAAAAAGAAGACGGACCGCGATGACGTCTCGTCGAAAGAAATTTCAGCAGTTTCGACTAAGGAGCTGATCGATCGGTTAAGGGAGGAGTGCAGCACGAGCAAGGAGAAGCTGCTGCAGATCGCAGCGGACATGAAGGCGGAAATGGTTTCTGGACTCAGGAGCACGCAGGGAAGCACGCTCAAGATGCTTCCTTCCTACGTCGACCAACTCCCTGATGGGTACGTACCCTTGGTGTTCTCTTTTCACGAATTCACATAATAACATGCTGGACTGAGGAGCACGCAGGGAAGCACGCGCAAGGTGATGCCTTCCTACGTTGTCCGACTCACTGATGGGTACGTTTATTCGCGCATCTTTTAGTTGATGTGAAAGGCAGCCCGAGCAAGGGCGCCCGCTGCAGATCCCGGCGGCCATGAAGGCGAAGATGGTGGTCGGTCACATGGTGGTTCTTGAGAAATCTAAAAAAAAATACATGTAAGGCGGAGATGGTGGCCGGTCACATGGTTGTGCATCCTGAATCCGTGGGCTTTTGTTGTAACATTCGGTTGCGAGCAGTCTTCAACGTATTGACAACAAAAACTTCTTGGGTGACCATTAATTTATTTACCCGCATGCAGGTCGGAGAAGGGCATGTTTTACGCGCTGGACCTGGGCGGGGGCCAATGGGTTGCGAGAAACTAACAAAAAGAGTAGCAATGGTTCCATCTGTGTAAAAAAAAAAAATGTGTGTGTGCAGCTCGGAGAAGGGCGTGTTCTATGCGCTGGACCTGGGCGGGACCAACTTCCGCGTGCTACGAGTACCTCTGCTGGGGAGGGACGGTGGAATCGGCAAGGTGGACTCAGAGGGTGCCTCCATCAGCCCCGAGCTCATGACCGGCACCACTGAGGTGGGTTGTTGTGAGGAGCGGCATGGATGCGAGGTAGCTTGGGCGTGACCAACTTCCGAGTGCTGCGAGTGTCTCTGTTGGGGAGGGACGGCGGCATTGGCAAGGTGGACTCGGAGGGTGCCTCCATCAGCCCCGAGCTCATGACTGGGACCACTGAGGTGGGTTGTCATGCATAGAGGTGAGGTTACGAGAAGCAGCACGGAGGTGGGTTGTGAGAGCGTTTTGAGACGCGTCAGAAGTTCTCTGGATACGGATTCTGGAATCGGCAAGGTGGACTCAGAGGGGGCTTCCATCAGCCCCGAGCTCATGACTGGCACCACTGAGGTGGGTGCTTTTGCCCAATTCACACAATCGTCCTTCACCAAGGGTTCTAATTTTCTAGAAGTATTCACATTTGTTTTCACAAATTTCCTTCACCAAAAGTGCTTCTTCTTTGATTTTTAGAAGTACGAATGCTATGTTTTCTGTTCTCTTTGGCAGGCTCGCTTTGACTACATTGCACCGAGGCTGGCGGCTGTCATGGCAAGAAAAGGAGGAGGAGTACGATGTAGAGGAGTACCACTCCTTACACGGATTTTCCATTCCGTTTCCTGTTCTCTTTGGCAGGCTCTGTTTGACTACATTGCATCAAGGCTGGCGGCGTTTGTAGTAAAGGAGGAGGAGGAGTTCAAGCCAGCAGAGGGCTGCTACTTACATGGAATTTTTTTTTCCCCGTTCTTTGTTTAATACGGCAGGCCCTATTTGACTACATTGCGTCGAGGCTGGCGGCGTTCGTAGCAAAGGAGGAGGAGGAGGAGTTCAAGCCAGCAGAGGGCAAGCACAGGGAGCTAGGATTCACTTTCTCGTTCCCATGTGACCACACGGCTATCAACGCTGGGAGGCTTATCAAGTGGACCAAGGGATTCAACATCCCTGAAACTGTGAGTGGGGGCAAAATTGATGTTTCTATGAGGTGTAGTACGTTACTAAACTAAGGAACATCTGTCTCTTTGTGGTCCAAGAATGTAAGGGAAATGCAATTTCGGTGCTGCTTTTTTCTTTCTTGTTGATTTCATTGTAAGAGCTCGCAGTCAACTTTCATCGCTAAGTGTGTTATTCTGTTGAACAATTTCGCTGGTGTGTTTGCAGGAAGGGAGGGATGTGGTTGAGGTTCTAGAGGAAGCTCTTGAACGGCAGAAGCTTGACATGAAAGTCTCGGCACTGGTAAGATTTTTTCTCAAAATGACGTTTCATTAACGTAGTTTTGCAACGTGCAATGTTACACCATCATGAACGTTGCATAACATTAACATTGCATAGCATGAACAGTGCACAGCATGAACGTTGCGTTACATGATCATTGCGAAACGCTAACATTGCATAATTTCAACGTTCCACATAACATCAACATAGCGTAACATCAACATTGAATAGCATCAAGATTGCATAACATTAACATCGCATAACTTTAGCATGGCATAATATCAAGTTTCCAGAACCTGAACTTTGAATAACATAAGCATTGACTGTCCATCCCATTCACTCAGAGGTGAACGATGCAGTAGGCACACTGGCAGGAGCATGGTTCGGTGGAGTCAGATGTGATGCTGGGCGCGATTCCATTCATTAGAGGGGCCTCAGAAGGTATTTCCAGTGCACAGTGGCAGTAACGTGCAACCTGAACTTTGCCTTTCTATCCCACTGCAGGTGAACGATGCAGTGGGCACACTGGCAGGAGCACGGTTCGTGGAGTCAAATGTGATGCTGGGGATCAGCAGAGGTGCTCCGAATTCAATGCATGCTTTAACCATCCCGTTCCGTTTCTCTTTTTTTTGGCAGGTGAACGATGCAGTGGGCACACTGGCAGGAGCACGGTTTGTGGAGTCAGATGTGATGCTGGGGGTCATCCTAGGCACGGGGTCCAACGCTTGCTACGAGGAGATCCAGGACATGAGCGTCAGGCAAACCGGCCCTCCTCCAGCCTCTGGCCGCATGGTATGCTATGCTTCTAGGGCTAGTCTGCCTTAGTCTGTACATGTGATGTTGGGGGTCATTCTGGGCATGGGTTCTGATGCATGTTATGAGGAAATCCATGACACCAGCGTCAGGCAGGCCAACCCTTCACCGGCCTCTGGTCACATGGTACAGTGCCTTGCCGTGCGTCTTGTAGAACACTAAACGGATTGATTGGGCAATTCTTGGCAGGGGGTCCAACGCGTGCTATGAGGAGATTCTCAACACCAGCGTCAGGCGGACCGGTCCGCAGTATCGGTAACTGCGGCAATTTTGTTACTCGCATGTGTCATGAAAGGTCTGATACCTCAGATGCAATGTCAATATTATCCATTTGTTCTGACGAATATGGTAACTCTAGGCAGAAAGAGGCCAAGCTGCCATAGTTATATATGGATCAGTGCCTATTACAGCTGCTGCAGGAAAAGGTTGTGGCCGCGCCCGCGCCCCTCCGTGCTTCCACTTTCCCTTCTCCTTTTCCTCTTGACTATCAGGTGATCAACATGGAGTGGGGCAACTAAGGCCTTCTGCATTGCTCTGATCCCCTTTCTGCCCCTTTCTGCCCCTTTCTCCCCTCTCTTTCCCCTGCCTGTCTGTTTTTGTGCCTATCTGCCTGCGTCCCATCAGTTGATCAACATGGAGTGGGGCAACTTCTGATCTGCCTTGCTTTCTATGCACTTTTCTGCCCCTTGTTCGCCCCCCTCTGTTCCGTGATTGCCTGGTGTGTCCCATCAGGTGATCAACATGGAGTGGGGCAACTTCTGGTCCGGCCATCTGCCTGTCACGGAATACGATGACCTTCTTGACTCCAAGAGCGCCAACTGCGGCCAGCAGGTGAGGCTGAACCCGCATCTTTGCATAGAAGGAATTGAACACATTTATAAGGAAACTCGCTCCAGGTTTTCAGAAAAGAACCGTTCAAGATAATGTACTGAAGGGTGGTAAGCACGTCTTACACTGAAAATCAATCAAGTTTTATAATCTCCAATTTTTGTATAATCTTATGACTTTAACATTGTTGCGTGTGGCAGCGCTATGAAAAGATGATATCAGGCATGTACGTGGGAGAGGTGGTGCGCCTGGCCCTGCTCTGTTTCTGTTTACCAACTCTCACACCTGTAATCTTCCCCACCATCCCAATGCTGTTACACATGTGTCACAGCGCTACGAGAAGATGATATCCGGCATGTATGTGGGGGAGGTGGTGCGCCTGACTCTGCTAGACATTGCTCAGAAGTCAAAGCTGTTTGGCGAAACTGTCCCCGCCAAGTTGCTCCAACCCAACTCCCTCCCGTAAGACATTCTTCATTACTCACCTCATGTGTGTGGAAGGGAGGGAGGAGAGGGGGGAAAGGGAAGAGGGGGAGGGGTGGAGTTGGGATGGGGGAAAGGCGACTGGGAGGTGGTACGTCTGGCCCTGCTTGACATTGCCCAGAAGTCGAAGCTGTTTGGGGAACCTATCCCCACCAAGTTGCTCCAACCCAACTCTCTCCCGTAAGCAGTCATTCTGTTGGCTGATAGAACATGGAATCATGTTTTCTCGCAACCCATTTTTTTTTATTAGCTGTGTCAACCCAACTCGCTCCCACTGACTTCTCTTCATGAGGGTCCAACCAACCATTCTCTTTCGAGCCCAACCATGCTCCTTTAATTTCTCTATCCTGTTGTCATCATTGTGACTTTTGAGTCGACTCAAAAGTCTTCTCTATCCTATTGTCATCGTTAGCATCTCTTCATCGTTGAACCTTATGGTGGAGTCATTTCCATCGCATAACGTAGCACAACTTATTCGCCTTCGCTTTCTGTTGCCATCGTCGCGTCTTCCTGTGCTGTAAAATGCAGGACGCCCAAAGTGGCAATCATTCATGAGGACACCACTTCAGACCTCTCCAAAGTTGGATCCGTGCTTGCAGAGGCTCTTGAGGTGTGTGAATCGTATCCAAAGCGTATCGTGTGCTGTCTCCTCGTTTTCCGCACTCCCTCAGTCCCTCAAAGGAGCACGAGGCTCCATTCTAGTATCTTATGCCCACGTTCCTCTTACTGTCAGGCACATGAAAGAAGAATGTTTCCGAGACGTCTCAAAAACACTCTTCTTCCTCAGCCCTTCAAAGGAGCACGAGGCTCTCCATCCTAGTATCTTATTTCACGCTCACCTTCCTCTTACTGTCAGGCTTTTTTCCTTCTTCCATTGTTAACTTCACTTGCTCACTCCAGGTCCCTCCTTATCATTCGTGTTCCACAATTTCGCTTCAAGTTCTTGCTTCACATTCTCGCATCACCCAAAGCCGACGTGTTTACACATTCCTCCCCGCTTACAGCTCCCAGACACCTCACTGCCCCAGCGCCAGGCAGTGCAGGAGGCGAGCTACATTCTGGAAGAGAGAGGCGCCCGCCCTGTTCCTGCCGTTAATGTGAGCACACTCCCATTTGCACATGTTCGCTATCCCCCCCACCTGCAGCTCCCAGACACATCGTTGCCACAGCGCCAGGCAGTGCAGGAGGTGAGCCGTATCTTTGGAGAGAGAGGCGCCCGTCTTGTGGCCGCTGGGATCGTGGGTGTGCTGCAGAAGCTAGGGCGTGATGGGAAGGCCCAGCCAAGCACAGGAGAAGCAGCAGCTATTGATGGGGAAGCGGCAGGAGGAGAAGCAGGAGCACCAGGAGCAGAGGCAGGGGCAGGTCTGGGGCATGTGCCGAGGACAGTGGTAGCAGTGGACGGGGGTATGTACGAGCATTACACTCCGTTTCGCGAGGGAATTCACGAGACGCTCAAGGAGCTGCTTGGCGAAGAGGTGGCGGGGTTTGTGAGCATGAAGCTGTCGAAGGATGGATCGGGGATCGGTGCTGCTTTGCTGGCCGCCTCGCATTCCGCTTATAAAGAGTGATGCGATCATGCAAGGGGGCATGCGAGGAGGGACGGACAGGGGGGTGGTGCAAGGAGGGGCGTTAGACATTAGACCGTGTGTGGTTTGTGTAAACTCAGATACGTAGGGCTTCTTGGGGAGGAGGTGGCAGGGTTTGTGAGCATGAAGCTGTTGAAGGATGGATAGGGGATTGGTGCTGCTCTGCTGGCCGCATCACACTCTGCATACAAGGAGTAATGCAGGGGGGACGGGTTGGGGGATGGGTTGGGGGATGGGTTAAGAAGAGCCGTTTGTCCATGTGGGTGATTCTTTGTAAAGTCAGATATGGAGCAGGGCTTCTTGGTGAGGAGGTGGCGGGGATTGTGAGCATGAAGCTGTCTAAAGATGGGTCAGGGATTGGTGCTGTTCTGCTGGCCGCCTCGCATTCAGCTTACAAGGAGTGATGCACAGGGAGATGTTGCACAAGGGATGGTGCCAGGCGGTATGAGACTCTGTTTGATTTCGTGTCAACTCTTGAAGGTTCTTGATATCGTGAAGCTTTTTGGAAGGAGGGAAGCGCGGGGTGTGTGAATAAGCTTTTCAAGGATGGTTCAGGGGTTTATGCTGCCGTGCTAGCCCTTGCATTCTGCCTACAAGTATGATGGGAGGGTGTGAATTGCTTTTCTTCTGGTTCTTATGCCATTCACACCTAGAGTGGAGCATGTCCGCTCAGTGAGGGTGTGATTGGAAGGGAGCCTTCTGACTTGCTTGTTTTGTACAGGGAGTTACCACCTTACCACTTTATTTTGTACATCAACCTGTGTTGCTCAACATATGCGATTTGTCCTTTCCGAAGTCTCTGTTTGTGCCAATTATTTCCGTCATCCTAGTGTTGATATCTTCTTCCCTTGTGAATTGGTTCTTCAAGTACAGTATGTGTCCAACACTCCCATGTATGTCTGGCTATGCCTTGAGTTGATTCTATAAACAGTGAATGCAACTTGTGACGCCACACATGCTAGAAGCTATACACTGCCTACAAATTCACAACCCTTCTCTCTGGCACATCTCAGGATCCTGGCAAAGTGATCAGGCCCGGCTGCGGGACAACCACTGGCAATTATGAAGAGGATAAGTGTGAGCCAAGTCGAACAGTGATGCCAAAGGGATCACGAAGGTATCCAACAGTCTGGCCCCACTCTTTGGGCTCTGGTTTGGCAACTTCCTTAGCTCCGGCCTTTAGGGCTCTCTGCGGACGACGAATTACCGACCTTATGTCAATCCATCCTTCACAAAGTCACGCTACGAAGCAAGGGATTCTAGCCAACTGGAGAAAATGACATGACTGTACCTCAAAAGTATCTTGGACGTCGAAAACGCTAATGCTGATTTCCACGTTCTGCCGCTGCTCCTGCTCCTCAGGAGCATGCACGCCTCCTGTGATCTTCGTCTCCCTTTGCTCCAGCGGGGTAAACGCCAGAGTTGTTGACCCAGTCTCCAATTCAGCCCATCTGACAAGCAAAATGAGTGACTCAAAATGATATAACAAGCATTTTATATGAGGAAACCGAAAAAGGCAGATAGAAACCATTCAGCAGCGCAATGAACAACAGACGGGAAAAAAAACAAGCTACCGTATGGCTTGAATACCTTCTGCTGTTGTCCACGCGCCTCACATCGAACATGAACACGTCCTTGTAAAACTTCACCGCTGCGTCGATGTCTTCCACGTAGAGAATCACGTACGCGAGACGAGCTCCAGTCGGTGGTGACATGGCTACCTAGCGCTTCACTTATTGCAGGAAAATATTACTGGTGAGATACTACTGCCTCACTAAGAGAGCACGCTGCGGAACGCGAGCAATCAGTCGGGCTCTGGGAAGAAGGGCGCTGCGATTGCCAAGGGGAGCCAGATAAAAATCCGCGAGTGGCGCCAAGGAGGCTGTTCGCGCGAAGGCTTCCCTGCACGGAACGTCCATTGATTTGCCATGGCCCGAAGCGCGAAACCAGCTCGAGAGGCTTAATTTTTGCTACGCGTTTGACTGACACGGTGCTCAGCATGCGTGCCACGTTGGGACAACAACTTCTATGAGTGACCACGCATTCTTGGGGCTGGTGTAGTTGACTTGTGGCGGGACCTTGAGGATGCGTTACAAGGGAGGTCGAGATACGATGTCCAATATCGAACATTTAAAGCTGCGGTATACATTTGAAAGGAAGAGTTCAAAAACTTTTGAAATTTGAAAAGTTGCCCCAAACCTGTGAGGCTCACTCCCTAAACCCTGAACCCTGCTGACAAATGTATACTTCAGCTTTAAGTAAATGTATGCATACTAGTTATCAAACCTACCGAACCATGTCGAACCCCTTGTGTACCACATGCTTTCAATTTCGCTAAGGGCGACGTCAGGTTGTACAACTTTTTGTACGCCCTCTCTGGTAAATTTCGTTTCAGCACGGTGAAGAGCGGTAATCGTCGAGAACCGCTTTTCACCTTGTTGGACCGTCCTGAACCGCGATACAGGAACTGTAAGCGTGTGTGAAATGTATTACCTGACATCGCCCTAACAGGTTTTGCTTTGCCAACTCCCAACCAAAATACAGCGAAACCCAGCACGGGAGTGTGCATGCACCCTTGAACCACCCCGCACTCGAGCTTTCCCTGCAGGAACCCTAGTTCCACGAAATCGCGACTTCAGTGTAGTGCAGCGTGTTCCACACACACACATACCAATTTGGGGGCTCGTCACAGACGCGAAGTCGCGCTGGTTACTGGTTTGGGGGCTCGTCACAAACGCGAAGTCGCGCTGGTTACTGGTTTGGGGGCTCGTCACAGACGCGAAGTCGCGCTGGTTGCTTCTGCTATGCGATTTTTCGTGCTTCTTTTGGGCTAGAGTCATCTCAGCATACCCTGACGCGCCGGTCGTCGACGATCTAGGGTTGTGCGCATACTGGGGCTGTCTGGTCCGTCCTGGTTCTCTTTGACGTGTCCGCAGCATCACTACCTCCCCTTGTCAGAATTCGCCGTACTATACGGCTTTGACCGCGTCCTATTTCGGAGGCTGTCAATCTTGTCGAGTGCACTTGTCCGCGAAATCTCGTTACAGCTCTCTGCGTCCACCATGTCGTACGACGAGGTGGAGATCGAGGACATGGAGTGGAACGAGGAGTTGGGGGCGTTCACCTATTCCTGTCCGTGTGGCGACCTCTTCCAGATTACTCTCGTAAGCTACTTTCAGTGCTTGGAAGCCCCTGGGTGCTATGCTTAGGGTTTCTCTGATTTATTCGCTACACTAGTGATACTGTCACGTACCTATCCATCCAATCTAGCTTCCATGTGCGACAATTATTGACGCTGCTTCCATGGGCAGGAGGAGCTTAAAAATGGAGAGGAGATTGCAAGATGTCCAAGCTGCTCTCTTTTCATCACAGTCATCTATAATTCCGTGAGTCTTTTTGAAATGAGTTTTTGTTAAGCTTATCTTCACTTTAAGAGCTTACCAATCATCTTTGTTGCCCTACTTGCAGGAGGACTTCCAGGATGGCCCTGGAAAAGTGGAGCCCGTGGGTCCAGAGGGTGTTTTAGTGGCCTAGGTGATCTTTGTTTGGTTCAGCTGCCTTTGCTTGATTGTATGTTCCTATATCTTGGCATATAAAAGGCAAGGCAAAAAAGCTGGGCATAACATATAATTGTGAACTAGTGAAGCTTGTACAGTGCTTGCACGTGTTACAATTCTTGAATAATAACGAATCGTACAGAGCTCACAACTCTCAAATCGTGCTGCATTTTTATTGCTCATGCGACCTTTCAGTCATTTTAGGTGGTAAGTGCGGGTTAGCGACAGCCATTCTGACTCCCGATGCTCTCCGACCAGAGATACAACAATGAGGCCTGTAATCACTGCTTCAAAACAGAGGTCGTTACAGGTCAGCTGCTTACCTCGCGCCAGCTCTTAGAAGCCACGCGTTAATTTTGTTTAACCTTCTTTTCGGTAAATTCAGGTCGTAGTGAGGGTGCGGCCATTATCCAATAGGGATTTAGGAAGGAGCAGGCATGACATCGTTCGTGTACTGGACGACAAGGTGCTGTCTGCATTCTCATGTTTTCCTTTCCAGTTCTTGTCGTTACTAACTTTCTGAGCTCGTACAGACTGTCGTTGTGCTGGATCCGGACGTGGATAAACAATACCTTGATAAGATTCAACACCGAACAAAAGAAAAGCACTTCTCGTTTGACAGGGCCTTTAATGGCGTTTCGTCCAATGTGGTGAGTTGCGAGACCACTATAAACCTGCACTTCGAGCACCTTCTGAGATTAAGGAAACATTATTATGACAATGCGCAGGAGATATACACTCCCACAGTGCAGCCTATGATTCAGGGGCTTACAGAAGGTCTAAATGCTACAGTAAGTTCCGAAAGCCTTACCCCATCGCAATCTGTCAAGTGTTGACACGTTTTCCCAATTTCAGGTCTTTGCTTATGGTGCAACTGGAAGGTGAGCAATCTGGAAACTCTTGTTCTTCCTCTAGATATTATTTACACGCTTGACACGGGTATGTGGCAGCGGGAAGACATGGACAATGGTTGGTAATGACAAAGATCCGGGACTCATGGTGCTAGGTTTCAATGACATTTTCAATCTCGTGAAAGGCATGCAAGTTAACCCAGGAGAGAGTGTTGACATTTCATGCTCCTACCTGGAAATTTACAATGAGGTTAGTTGACATGGCGCAGCAATTGCATCGTCAACATGCGAATCCATTACAGCCTTGGATTCTTCGGGCAGATCATATATGACCTTTTGGTGGAATCGTCTGGAAGCTTGGAGTTGAGAGAAGATCCTGGTCAGGGAGTTTCTGTTGCTGGTTTAAAACGCATCAAGGTAATGTCAGCGGTTCGTGTATGAGTGCCGTATTCTTTACCTAATCATAAGTTTCGCAGGTTCAAAGTGCCGGAAAGATATTGGATTTGTTGAGACAGGGGAATCTTCGGCGGAAAACTGAGAGCACGGATGCCAACCTGACATCATCTAGGTATAGTTCTGTTTGGCACACCGGACTCCAGATGTGCCCGATTAACACAACACAAGTATGGATATTCCAGGTCCCACGCTGTCCTACAGATTGATGTTAAGAGAGTGGTCTCGTCTCGCTCAGCTGAACGCGTGATGGGAGCGAAGCTTTGCTTGGTGGATTTGGCTGGAAGGTAAGGACCCTGTCTTTTTTCCTGTTTATTGTATCTTGTGCACTGGTTTTGACACACTTGACAGTGAACGAGCTTCAGAGACAAACAACATGGGACAGCAGTTAAGGGATGGCGCCAATATAAACAAGTCTCTACTTGCACTTTCTAACTGCATCAACGCTCTATGCCAGCAACAGAAGCGAGGGGTTGGCTACGTTCCTTACAGAAACAGGTAGTTTGAGATTTAAGCCACGCAAGCATCTGCTCCGAATCTTACTATGTGTGGTTGCGTGCAGCAAGCTGACAAGATTGTTGAAAGATGGCCTCAGTGGCAATTCACGAACTACAATGGTGGCTACAATCTGCCCTGCCGCTGACCAGTACCATCACATAATCAACACTTTGAAGTATGCTGACCGCGCAAAAGAGATCAAAACACGAATAAGGGTGAGTCTGAATTGTGACGCCCTTCGTTATTCTTCAGAGTGTGCTAATGAGTATCACATTCAGACCAATGTGCGAACTGTGGACTCTCAATCAGGCGACTACCTCAGGATGATTGAGAAGCTTCAGGTGTGGATTTGTTCAGTTTCCTCAATCTTCTTTTAGGCGACTACCAATCGTTTTTGTGAATGCAAATCATGATTCTTTGTCTAATGTTCCTGCCATGCCACCCAGGAGGAAGTAAGCATGCTGAAGGGTCAGTTGGCTGAGCAAGCAGCCACTTCCAGTATGAACCCTGTTGCTGATCCCTCTGGCACGTCATGGCTGGACGACATAAGTAGACAACTGAACGAAAACGTCCAGGAGCGAATCAACATGCAAAAAGCCATGTGCGAGCTTAACGAGTGTTTGAAGAGGGCCGGTGATGAAGTTTGCCGATTGGATCAGAAGATTGCTATTCTACAGGTACTAAGTTTTGTTCTGATGAGATAAGGAGGAAACATGTTATTGAACGATTGGTTATTGTTTCGGAGCAGAACGAGGATGTTTCTACGAAGCTGGACGAATTGCGTCATCAGAGAGCAGCTGTTGTGGAAAGCATGTGCGAGAATGAGGAGCTGAAACTGCTATACGCGAAGGTATGTTTTTAATGATCTTCAGAAATTCAAGGTGACCTTTTGACTTCTGGGTCGTTTCAGGACATCAGCAACAATGAGGCCGAAAGAGAGCTTCTTCAGAAAAGGCTGGACTCGTTTGTCAATAACCATGAGAACTCCTCATTCTTGCACATCCTCAACCAGTTCAGGTTCCTAGTAAGTTTCCAAAGTGTTTGTCATATTGTGCTTTGTTGAGTCCTTTCTCAAATATTGTTCATTGCTAGCAGAGTGTGGAGATGACAGAGATGCAATTTCAATTGGCTCTGAGAGATCAGTTAATAGCGGAAAAATCATCAGCAATGAACAGCCTTTGGATGCTACTCCAAGCATCAGACGTTGACATCGAAGAGCTGCTTAACGCAGCCGTCCAGAAGGTAAGCAATGTGCTCTCGTTTTGGATTGAAAGAGTCGGATACGGGCTAATATTCTTATAAGTGATCTTCAGGGTGTCCCTCTGGATAGCTCTTTGTCTTCCTATATTGACGTGAAACTGAAGGAAGCTATATCTACCCCGAACGGCAGTCCTAAGTTTGCACAATCGGTCTTCAGAGCTGCAACGCGAACTGTCCACTCAAGATTGCATCGGGTCAATACAGATCCAGCAGGATCACTATCCCGTCCATACCTGCCATTCAGTCCGAGTGATCGAAGGAATGTTGCTGTCTTTCCCACTGAGGACAAAATCAATGAAATGGAGGATGGGGAGCAGGGCATTCTTGAAGCACCTGCAGCGAATGTGCCCTTCACCCCGAATGCAACGAATGGGAGCACGTCAGCTATACCAATCCATCGAGAACAAGACATCGACACTCTAGTTACTGAGCCTAATGCAGGAGAGGTTGGGGCCAACATGGTCCGTGAAGCAGTGCTCGCCAACACGCTTGTGACGTCTGAGGCGATATTATGTGTCAATCCGATGGAGTTGTCAGGCGCTGATGCTGGAATGTATGGCTGTCCATCTGGAAGCACTACAACAACAGCGGCTATTCAACCCTGTGCAAAGGTGTGTGAACAACATATTGACTAATTTCAGACTGGTGGATATACATAATCACTGTTTACTGCCTTATCAACCCTTATGACTGCTTCCCATTCTTCCCTCCTTCCTTTGTCCATTGGAATCATGGGCAGTTTGTCAGCGAAGTCCCAACCTCCAGGCCCAAAACAAGCTCCCCTCGAAAACGCTCAGTTTGGCATGAGAAGCCAGGCACTTCATCAAGTCCAGGCTCACCAGCACGACGAGCTGGCTCACCTGGTGCTTCGGCCACTGGACCAAGACGACCAGTGCCAAAAGAGCGAAAAATTAGCGCTTATCACACGAAATGTTTCTGCAGCCACCATGGCAAGGATGAAGCAAAGAAGTAGCTGGTTGCATCGATGCATGAGAGATTTTAGAATGTTTTGTTGTACTCAAATTACATGGCATATGGTAGAAGAAAACAGGAAAATATTGAGACTGTCTAAAGTTGGAGATTGTCGAGTGCCATGTGGGAATTCCAGCATGCAAATTGGCATTTGATCTGTTGTGGCGCAAGGAGGTTCCAGACGGCGCACAAGCGGTTATTGAGGTCAACTGTTTTGCAGCGTGATGCACTGAGATTAAATGCATCAGCCACCATGTTTGCTTTTCATCGTTATGCTACATAACGAGCAGCTTGAGCACTATACATCGACAATCTGCCCTTATCCACGGGCTTTTATCGATCGGACTCCACGAGTGTGAATCCCGCCGCATTGCGCGCCAAAATAAGCGCTTCGCCCATATGCTGGCATGTGACGCGATCAGCCACAAGCCTGGCAGTACAGTAAACCTGATGAGCTCGTGGGGGGTTTGTCTAGGCACTCTGGCGATTCACGAACGACGCGCAGACACCTGCTCAGACGAAATTTCGGCATCCAAGGCAACCCCCTCCAATAAGCCCGACTCGCCCAATGAAATGGCACCGCCTGCTACGCACACACACTTTCCGTCAGCTAACGGGCTCCCCATCCATCACGTCAGTCAGCTCAATCCCCTTCCCACCCCAGCTTTAGCGTCATGCTGTGCTGGCAATCCCGCCGGAAACGTGTTCAGGAGAAACCCGTTTCCGTCCGTTAGAAACCCAGTTGTTCCCATGCGCAGACCGTCAAGTGCAGTTGACGGAACCCTCGTCGCCCCGTTTGCAACAATTATTGAAGCAGCCGGATTTGGAGTAGCGTAGGGTGGTGCGCTCCACCTCTTACGTTCACCCTGGCGCCCAGTTCAGCCGTACAGCACCCTTTTCTCACCACTCCCTACCCTGCTTTAGTGACAAACCACAAAATCTGTTCCACTTCCTCCAGCTCTTTCACCTGAAGGTTTCTGTTGAACTCGTCCAGTGTTTTTTTTCCTTTCTTTGAGCTTGGTTCACGAAGTTTAGTGGCCTCCGTCTATCGTTCTGTTTTCGAAAGACAGTCCGACGCCCTAGTTCGTAGTCAGAGTTATTTGCGGAGCTAGAGTGTGAACACGTTCACCATGATTGCGAAGTGTTTAGAAGTGACTATAGGATCAACGGCTAGTTTGAAAGAGAACAAAACGGTGAATAAAATTGATCCATATGCGGTTCTATGCTACAACGGGGTGGAACGTCGCACTGACGTCGAGTGCGGTGCAGCAGGTCGAGCAGTATGGAACCACCGATTCAATTTCCTTCTCCCTGACCGCGAGCAAGATTACCCTCCAGTGAGTATTGAAACCACAACAGTATTCGTTTCACTCAATTTGTTTCTATGCTCTTAAGGGCAAGCTCTTTTTGTATAATTATGTAGTAGCCAGTTTTAAGTCGACGCAGCATAGTCTTGATTATTCCCTTATTTTGTCTTTATTTTAATATCCTCGATTCCCTTTATTCACTACATTGCTCGTCTGCAGGAGATGGACGTTCACATCTGGGACAAGGTAAACGGCCAGGACAAGTACATGGGATTCTGCAAGGTGCACTTGGAGCAGGTCTATCTTCGCCAATCCATGGACGCCGTCTGGCCGGTGCACCAACGAAACGGCAAGCTTCTTGGTCACATCAGATTCCATTTCTCAATTCTTGTAGAAGATGTAAACGGCGAGGGTGCTCTGCCGTCCGCTCCTCCGGAAACACCTACTCCTCTCTTAGAACATCCCCGTGCGAATCGGAGGACCAACACGAGCATAGCAAAGGTTACGACTTCTGTTCAAGAACCTTCAAATAAAGCACTCGGCTGCACTGGAAACGCGCTTGGGGCGCATAATAAAGGCAAGGCTGCTGATTCTTCAGTGACTGCTGCTGCTGCTTCGAACGAGGCTTTGGAGGTGCTGTTGCTGGCCATGCGTCAAGCTCTTCTCCAGCAACAGGAACAGCAGCCACAGCAGCAGCAGAAGCAACAGCTTCAGCCACAGCAGAAGCAGCAACCACAGCAGCAGTACCACCAGCAGCAGCAACATAAGCCACGGAATAGCCAATCCCCGGACACTCACCAGAATGCTCCGAAGATATATCAGCCTCAGCCGAAGCGTATCAACCCTGCTTCAGCAGCACCTCCTGCTGCTATGCCTTCGTCTCCCATGGGACCTCCTTCTCCTAGCTCTCTGAGATTCTCTCCGTCCAAAGCGTTCAAAAAGGTCACTGCGACTTCTAGACATGCCGTCCGTCCCGCTTCTTGTAACGGCGCTGGAAACACAACCGACTGCACTGACGGAGGGAGCGGTGCCGTCACTGCAGTTGACGGACGTCCGTCATCCGCTGACGTCAATTCGCGCGACAGTCAAACGGCCCTTGCTTCGTCCGCCGTGCAGCGGTTCACTAATAATGGCGGTGCGGGCTTTCCGCCAGCCAAGCCTCTTCCGCCTCTCAGCGTTATTGGCGGCGGTGATGGCGCTAACGACGGACATGCTGCCACAGAAGGAGCCTCTGCTTTCGCACCCGTGCAACAGCGATCGGGAGCAGGTGCATCTTCTAACGGTCCCGCTTTAGCTTCTGCTCTTACCGCTTTTGCTTCTACGGCTTCCGCTTTTGGTGCTGCTCCTCCTGCCGCTTCTGCTGCTGCTTCTACTGCCGGTGGAGGCAACCGCTCTGCGGCTCAACCGCCTTCAACTCCTGATGCTCTGGCCGCTGAAGTCCTTAGCAAGGGCTGGGACCTCTCCGCCATCGCTTCGCTGACGTCAGCTGTGTTGTCAGCTTCTGGCAAAGGAACACCACAGGGCAAGAACTCTACATCCACTGTTGCTGCTGCCGCTGCTGGGACTAGGCCTGGTGGCGTATCTGCTTCCTCTGCTGCTGCGAGTGGTGCTCCTGCTGGTGCTCGTGCAGGCACTGGGGCGAATCGTCAGGCGATCATGAACCAGGAGCTGATTGCGGAGGCCCTCTGTATGGCTCTACTGGGGGAAGCAGGCAGGGCTGAGCCTGCAAGGAAGCAAGGGAAGAATGCTGGCCCTGGTGCTGCTGGTTCAAATGGCTCAAAACGGATCTGGGAGCTGCAGGAGGAGAAGAGGGGAGAGGTGGGGGTGGGTGCAGGCTTTGGAGCAGATGATGTGGCGGATGAGGATCCCAAGAGGCAACGCGTTGCTTGATTACAGATGGGAAAACCGCTTTCTTGATAAGGCTATCGCCAGCGCCATGAATAATGCACGGACCAGTGCAGGGGCAATGAGAGGCCGTAATCAGAATGCGTAGCACATGATGCGGCTGAAGTTGGAATGAGCTGGGAGCTGCTTGCGTTACTCCATAATTTTGCAGCATCAGTTCAGTGATTCTGTCCAAATAAATGGAGGCACATAGGCATAGGCAAAGGTTGCTGTGCATTGCTAACCCCAATAAGTGCCATCACTTGTTTGCTTGTTCATCTATTTAGCATCTCTGCAATTTGATGTCTTGGATCAGGTTAGTTCCAGTAAATCCATCAGACTGGTCGTGTTGCAGAACAAGAAGAAAGGGAGCTTAACATGTACCACACCGTACACATTAGTCAAGGCCATCCTACGGAATCGTGTATGTGTAGTGTTCTCATCGCCAGTAGCTCATCCATCCACACTGGCTTTGGAATGTTGAAATTCTTGAAGTAAAAACTGTTATCCACCTTCTGTGGGCCATACCTGGACTGCGGGCAGTTACGAAACTTCGGCCGGTGCCTGTAAATCACTGACTTTTTAGTAACTTCAAACTCGCCCTTTCTCCAGCTCTTGAAGTGTAGCTTCGGCAGGGCTTGTAACGTGAAGTTGACAAACAGATGTGTGTTGAGAAGCGGCATTGCAGGTGAGCGTTCACAGTAGCGATACTCCATAGGCTTGTTGCTCCCGTTGACTATAATAATATCGAGGTAGTTGTTGGTGGCCAATCCGCTGCACTTGCCAGTCTCCCATGGAAGGTAAGGGTTGGGAATGTTTCCTTTCATGTTGCAATACACTCCGTTGATTTGACTCTGGTTGCAAACTGTTTTGAACCAGGGCCAGCGCTGCAGGAAGTGGGGGAAAGAATGTGAGGGAGGAAAATTAAACAACTTGTGAGTGTATGGGAAGGAGGGGAGGGTGTTTGGGGTGATGGGGGGGGAGGAGGGGGCTGCGTTGGGGTATGTGAGCTGGATACTAGACTAATAGAAATGTCTTGGTTCAGGTGATTCACTACCCAGAAAACAAAAAGGAGTGCTTCAATTCAAATTATAGATTTTATCTCATTGACTCTTGAGTTACTGCAGAGCGCAGTTGAGCCGTGCCATACCTGATTGAAGACGGGTGTATTGTAGTACTTAATCCTCATGTTCTCCCAATAGTTTCCGGGAAACTTGTTGCAGTTGTTGACGGTGGGGGTGAGGCAGGTGCACCAGCCAGGGGCCTTGAGTGCATTCACCACCAACACATGCTTCAGACGGTTGCTGTGGGAGTTGTTGGGATGGGGGAGAGAGGGGAGACAGTTTTGACAATTCTCAAAAGCCACCAGCCAGGGGCCTTGAGTTTACTCACCACCAAGACATGTTTCAGACAGTTGCTGTGAGAGTTGTTGGGAGGGGGAGAGATGGAAGTAGGGGAGATGGTGGTAAGCTTCAGCGGGGTGAGGCAGGTGCACCAGCCAGGGGCGTTGAGTACGTTCACCACCAATACATGTTTCAGACGGTTGCTGCAGGAGTTGTTTGGAGGGGGGGGGAGAGGGGAGTCATTTTGTATAATTCTCATAAGTCACCACCAGCCAGGGGCCTTGAGAGCGTCCACCGGCAACACATGTTTCGGACGGTCAGGTAGGCGGTGGTAAGCTTCAAATACCTGCTGCAGAAGTTGTTGGGAAGGGGGTGAGGGAGAAGGGGAGGGGGTGGTGGTGGTGGTGGAAGTGCTGTTGAGTGGGGATGACGATGATGCCGCTGACATGTAAAGCAGACCCAGGTATAAACAGGTACACCACCCCCAACCTCTGTTATCGTGCACTATTCTCTTGAACCCACAGGCAAGTCAGCCAAGCTGTTAGAGGTAGGAAAGTTGTTACAGGTAAGGACTTACAATTTTCCATTGTTGACTTTGAGCCCATCCCAGTTGTCATAACACACTCCTCCTATCACCTTCACTCCTGACGTGTTGTAATCGAGGTAGTAACAGTGGTCACCCCCCTTCACATAGTTACACTCAGCCCTGTTACCTGCAAAAAAACGTTATCGGAAATTCATGAAGTACAGAGGAGAATCTCCCGCTTGTAGACATTGTATTACACAGTTCGGCCAGCGAGCAGAATGGTTCTAGCGGTCAAATTGTAGCCAGAACAGCTTGCTGAACAGCACTACCTGCCCAGCTGCACGCCGATAGGGCGTACCAGCCTGTGCTGTCAGAAATTTGACCGAGGAAGCTTATAGAGAGGGTGAAAACTAGGAGCCACGTCAGATAATGGGCGAATATACAAAACGAGGAGAGTTGCAAAAGGTGCCGCAGGAATCAGAGAAGCGAAACAACAAAATAAAAGCAGCAAAAAGCGGAGGATGATAATCTTTACCTGGATTGAACCAATGCGTGCAGTAGTAAATCCCAGCAGAATCCGCGGCTCCAGTCATATTCCTCAGTCTGCTGTACACGTAGTTGTACCCGATAAACCCAAGCATGCAGTCGCCTTGATTCCGCACATCCGCTCCGCACCGAATCCCCGCGAATCCATAGTCATGCACGAAATTTTGCACAACTCTAACCCCCACTGCTCCGTTGTACACCACTAGCGGTGTATCCGCTCCAAAAACTTCATTATTCGAAACCGCGATCCCAGATCTTACTAGCTTCGTTCCGATGCCGCTAATTCCGACTCGCAACACGCCGTTGCTCTTAGCGAAGTCCCACACGCCCGTGACTTTCATGCTGTCGATTCGCGACTTCATACATCGGTACATGTCGATCCGACCGTACACGTATCCCTTCGCGATTTGCACACCGTACGATCCATATATCCAGACCGCCGGGCAAATTACGCCTTTTCCGACCTCGGGCAGCACTTGCCGGCAGGAGGGAGAAAACTTCGTGGTCTTGATCACGAAGTTTATCCCCATTATAAGCACGTTGCTGGTGTTGTAGACCCTAATCGCCGGCTGGTTCTCGCCTGGATATGAGACGGTGTAAGCGCCGAACTTAGCGGACTGGAAGATCGTGCAGGAGAAACGCTTATCAAAGAGAATCCCTTTGCCAAGTACCATGCTGTTTTGCAGCGTCAGCACGACCGTTTGCGTAGGGTCGTGCTTCACTCGCGCCTGAATATCCGCTGGCTTCGTCACTGCGATCCTGACAGCTGTCTTCACTGGAGAACATGGCCCTTGGGCCGCAGGTGGTGCTGACGTGGAAACGGTTGGAGCTGACGTTGACTTTAGCGAGGCAGATGCATATTCCATCCCAGCTGCTCCTGCGTCTGTGACTTCCGCTGCTGCTGCTACGTCGGCTCTTAATGAGTGTGACTGTAACGAAGAAAGACCGTCTATAGTGTTCTCGCTCCCACCAACTTTGATGAAGTCTCCGCTCCGTGGCTTGCCGGCGTGCCACCTTCCAACCTGTCGGTGTACGCGATTGTAGCCGCCCCACTCCCTCCCTCTCCCACTATCCTCACTCAACTGCCCCCTCGCAAAAATCTTTTTCTCCAGGGCGTGAGAAATAACCGTCCCTTGTTTCCCCTCCTCTTCCCCCTCCACGCCCCCGTCGTCTTCCCCTTCCTCTTCCCCCCCCGTTTCCCACTCCTCTCCCACCTCATCTTCCCCCTCCTCCCCCGCATCCTCTCTCGCTTCTCTGTGGAGCCGACCAATTCCTGGTGGCAGCGGCGTTCCGGCGAGGACGTCCCACGTGTCCTCCACGTCACCCGCGGCGCGGGCTTCCGTTATTCGGTTGAAGCCGACTCGGCCGCCGTCGCGATGGTGGCGGTGGAAAGAAGTGTGAGTGTAACCGGTAGCGACCCTAACGGATAATAACTGCACTATTAGCACAAGTACTAACGACATGGCGAGGGGTGTGGCGACAAACGAGCGAAGAATGCCCATTTTTCACGGAACTCTGGATACCAAATCCATCATAAGGGCGAGTTTAAACCGCGAAGGACTTCGAACATAACTGGTGCTGGTATAGCAATTGGCAATGCTCTGGTGATGAGACTAGCCAGCGGATAACAAGAGAAAGAAGCCGGTGTGACAAAAAAACTACACTCGTAGAGCTACCGAATGCGTGGACGTCTCAACGTTTCTCAGGTAGTCAAGCTGAGGCGCTTCCGCGACACGATAAAATAGTTAGTTCTCAGCGTTTGGTTTGGTGTCTGGGCGGGGAAACTGTCCTTCGAACAAGCCGTATCTACCTATGAAGTTATTTTCAGTGCTGTGTTGCTACTAGTAGACCGCAGCGCCCTCCCATCACAAATGCTCTCGCGAAACCCTCTCCGCGGTTGAGCGTAGAGAGATGGAGGGTGTGTCGAGTGGTTGGTGTTGGCTGTGCTGGAAGAGCTGGTAAGGTAACGGTGTCGTTATGCACTTAGATGCGTTAGCGAACATCGTCAATAGATGTAAAGATAGTACACCGCAAGGAAAATGCTGGTTTTAGCTTTGTTGAACTATGAGAACCAGAAATGTGGGTTCCTGTAAGGAATTTTCTCGGCATTCCTTACGGAGCCCGACTACATCGCGTACAGCAACAGCCGTTGTTCGCCCGTTACTGCTAACGGGACTTCGCCAACTTCGCGCGCACTGTTTTGCCAAACCTCGCACTGCTGGCCCAGCCGTGTCGGCCTACGCTTCGGGACTAGCCCGAGCCTCGCTGCCAGCATAGCACTAGCTAGCTCGCACGCACCGCGTTACCGTTTGCATGTTTCGCGTATAAATGTTCGCTCATGCCTTCGCTCACATCTTTGTACTCGTTTGACACCATAGTGCAATTCTCGCTACTTCGATTCATTGTGTTGGAAACAATCGGTCCTAAGCGCCTCTGTCGTGTCGAAACACTAAGACACAAAAGAAACGAAGTATAACGAATCACCGGCGAGTCAACCCTCGGAGGTTGAAAGTAACTGTTGGAGGTTACGCGAAGGTCAGCGACCTTTGACCTGACAAATACAGCGCGACAGCAAGGACACACAACTGACTCGCTACAGAGCAGTTGCCCGAGTCGTCACTGTATCAAACTACAACAGCAATACAGTTATAACTGCATCTCTTCGTATTCCTTGTACTCATATATAAACATGTATCCACCTGTTTTAATCAACTTACTTTGCCCTCACACATTAGCGCAAGGTGGTTCACAACCCTTTAATTAACGCTTCCGCTACTACACCAACTCTACCCAGAGTTCACCCCTGCAAAGATCCTAAGGGCTTTTCAGCCCAACATGGTATGAGAGCAATCAGGGGGAATTCAACTTCTATACCGACAATATCAATCAGCATGGCTACACAAAAGGAAAGGAGCAACTCCAACGGCTCCCAGGGCACTACTCCTACTCCACCTCCTGCCTCTGGCCTACAGACAGAGGAGGGCACGGCAACAAGACCCAGAGCAACATCTACCGAGACTCCCGCGAATCAACCTGCAGACTTCGACCAGAGCATGATGAAGAAGTTTTTCTCCTTCATGTCCTTCTACGAGCAACACCAGCAATCGGCACCTGCGCAGTCACACAACAGCAACAACAACGGAGCAACACCCATGAGTCTCGACGGCTCATCATATGCACGTGGAAATCAACAACAGCAGCCTACCTTTGCTCCGTACGAGCGCGGGTCCATCAGCTTTATGCCACACCCACAGCCTTCACCTGGACAAGAAAAATCACTGGACGCATTACAAGTTCAGTCGCAGTTCGCACACGTTCTGAAGATGCAGACGTCAAGACCCTTCGATGGAAAGGACTTCTTCACCTGGTCGTTCGAGTTCGAGCTGATGATGGAAGGCGCGCAGATACTCGGGTTTTTCGACGGGTCTCTGCCATACCCAACAAACGGCACACAGTACGAGAAGCAGCAGTACACCTATCAGTCAATGATGGCGTATACGATCCTACTGAGGAATATCACCCCGACTCAACAGCAGAACATAAGGTCTTACCGAGGTTACGGCAACTCCGCGGAGCTCGCGTACAACCACCTGAAGAGCCTGTATCAAGCAACAGACAGCGTAAGCCAAAGTCGGTTAATGGCGCAACTGACAACGGTTGAAATGAAACCAGGGGAGAAAGGAATGGCGTATATCAGTCGATGTCGCGAGTTGCGCGACAAGCTTCTTCGATGCGGAGGGTCGATTTCTGAAGACGCCTTCGTGACAGTCATCATCGGCGGCCTCGGTCCTCAATGGCGCGCCACAAAGGCCATTCTCCGAGCTCACGGAAGAATCTCCGAAGCAGCGCTCTGCGCCGAAATCCACGCCGAGCAGCAAGACATGGACCTGCAAGAAGAACGACACAAAAAGAAGACATCAGCACCGGAATTCGCGTTCCACACTCAGCGACGCTACAACAACAACAACAACCGGCAGCAACAACCGAAGCCAGTACCTCCGTTCTGCCACATCTGCAAAACTTCAGGACACCCGCGTACGCACTGCCCGAATCGTCAACAGTCAACAACTCCACAGCGGCAACTTCGACCTTCAAGCAGCCAAATCGCCTCAACGCAAGCAAATCCCACGACTCAGATTCAAGCCTCAACGACCTCAACAGGACAACCTGCACAAGGAGCAAGAAACATCGTCAGCTGCATGGCAAAGCTGAGTGACTCCTGCATCACCGAGTCACCACCACACTACTCACCGGAAGAACAACTCGACGAAACCACACCCCGCCGCGAGTCACTTCAGCCGAACCCGACATACGCCGCCATCGCCCAAAGCGAACCATCCGGAAAGGACACATGGTTCTTGGACAGTTGCTGCGGACAGCACATGTGCTCCTCGAGACGCTTCGTTCAACGAGAACACCAACTTCAACGCGAAGTTGTCATTACAGTCGCCAACAATCAGAACCTGCGAACACGACGACAAGGCGTAGTTCAACTTCAGTCAAGGGAAACAAACGTTATACTGCAGATGTCAAAAGTACTAATCGCGGAGGGACTCGGCTACAACTTACTGAGCGTCAGTCAGCTAATGGCGAAAGGGATTCACCTCGAAGCAGACAGCACCACCCAAGAATTCAAGCTGTATCACGGGAGAGGAGGACTCTACATCGGCAAGGCGGTCCTCAAGAACAACGTCTTCGTTCTTGACTTCGTTCCTGATCTTGGCACCGCCGACAGCGAAGCCATCGTTAACTTCACCAACTGGACACACCCTCCAGACCTTGATCCAGACTTCAGTCCAGAAGGCTTCTGGTATTCACACACCATCCCCGAAGCAGAAAGAACAAGTGCGTTAGCAACAATTCAGACAACATCAGCAGCAGCAGAGACAACATCAGCAGCAGCAGAGACAACATCAGCAGCAGCAGAGACAACACCGGCAGCAGCAGAGACAACATCGGCAGCAGCAGAGACAACATCGGCAGCAGCAGAGACAACATCGGCAGCAGCAGAGACAACATCGGCAGTAGCAGAACCATCAACGGCAGCAGCAGGAACGTCAACACCAATTGCTGGTCCTTCAACGACACCGCTCCTCATCGACGACACACCACCGACACCCGCGCAACAACTACACCCAGCACCACGAGAAGTTCATCGTAGCGCCAACTTCACCGCCAACTTCTACTCCAACGCCGATATGTACCGACGATCACCCGGACATCGCGCCGACGAAAGCACCTGGCACGCAAGGATGGGACACCCAAGCAACACAGTATTAAACAATACGATAAGAGCAGGAGTACTCGACAAGGACTCACTCCTACTGACCGACGGACGAGAACTTCAACGAGTACGCGGAACGTGCTTCACCTGCCCTGAAGGTGACTTACCACATCGACCGTTTGCGTCTCATCACAACCCGAGCGCACCCGCGTACGCACCACTCGAGAAGGTGTATAGCGACATCCTGTTCAATCGGGAACCAGGACAAGTAATATACAACTATACAATCACCTTTATCGACGCCGCCACCCGTTACGTCTGGCACCTAAACCTCCCTAGCCGCGACATGGCATTCGAAGCCTTCGTTGCCTGCCTACCAGTAGCAGAGAGAGAATCGGGCGTGAAACTGAAAAGCTTCCAGTCAGACGGAGGAGGAGAATACACCTCTCAGGGATTCAAGCAGTACCTGGCGGAAAGGGGAATCAAGCGGCTCATCTCCCTTCCCTACGCCCATCAGCAGCAAGGTGTAGCAGAAAGAATGAACAGGACCTTGCAGAGCAGCATGCGCAAACTGTTACGTGGCATGCGGCTACCCAACCACCAGTGGCCTGCGGCAATGGACCACGCCGTCATGCTGCACAACTTGCTCTCGTCATCATCGCTTCCAAACAACGCATCACCGCATCTGCTATGGACAGGGAAACAGTGCAGCACAAAAATGTTACGAGTATTCGGATGCATGGTACAGTACCGACCCCCAGCAGCACGAGCGGGCCGATTTTCTCAACGAGCACAGTGGGGACTACACCTGGGAATCGAAAAGAACTACAACGCGTGGAAAATCTTCGACGTCCATTCCAAGGAAACAGTAGCAGCACGTGATGTAATCTTCTACGAACGACTCACGCTCCAGACATACCTTGCCAACCTGCAAGAAGACCAGGATCCCACAGGTGGTTTTCGCGGTGACCGAGCCTTCGCCTCAGCAGCGGACGAAGCTGACTGGGACGAGCAGAATGTGGACAACGCATCAGAAGAAGCCGGACCTCTTCCGTTCTGCTCCGTCGACGTTCCCATGGACGAAGATAACCCTCGCGAAAGTGTCAACGCCGAAACCTTCTACTATTTCGCCGACAACGGTTACGTAACACCTGCAACAGTCAACACCAACGAAGCAGAACGAGTAGGACCGAACTTCATACCTGATCCAGAAGCGGGAGATGAAGCAGCTTATCCCGAGGACGCAAATCTTCCCCGCTACTCACAGGGTGGACTGCA